AATCACTTTCTGTTCTCGCTGGCATCCTTGTGTCATGTTCTTCTCTTCATGCGCTTGGTCTCGACGGCAATGATTTTCAAGCTGAGAACGAGATGGGAAGTAACGTGTTTGCCAGGGCGCTAGGCGACAGCAAGAAGTTGCAGTTCCTTACAATGCCTCGGAAGACGTTCATGAACGATCGTTTGGCAGAGTGTCTAGCCAGTTTAGCTGAAGGAGAGCCCCAGCTGTCCATTCATTACGCATCATGAGTGCTTCATGTCATCATGCCTCTGCTTGACTGGTCGTCACTAGTATGGGTGGCGATACCCACTGACTCGTGGGCATTACCACTGTGTACATTTGTATAATAATGCAGACACTCATGGAAACCGATCACTTGACGTTGTGTATAGCAAAACTACTCAATCTGCAGATAGAACTGTTTCATCCTTTGTGGATTCGTCAGCGCAGCAGAGAGAAAATGAGGCCGAACCTGATAGCAATGAAAATTTCCAGGGCCATATTTAAACCAGGCCCGAACGTACATGTACCCTGCCAGCAAAACTATACATGCAGTTAGTAGAGCAATGTTTTTATATCTATATTTTGCAGTTATGCCAGTGATGCCGTGCTGATCAGTCAGCAGCCTTGCGCATGGCAGTGGAGCATTGAGTGGTAGACCAGTGCTACATGTAGTGCATTGCTGCGTTGCGGCATGGTCATTCTGCGCAAAGCTTCTCCAGTGTTGATCTATTCATGCAATCACTATACAATAGCATGGATTGCGGTCGAGTATGCACATGGCTGCGTTCATTTGTGGCCGTGCAACACATACACCCTATAATGTAAGTCCGATATCGGACACACAATCATCGATGTGGCTGACATCCTTCAATCGATTTGCCCGTGTTTTTAATGTGCACCATGTATTTGCACTTTCCCGGAGCATTTGGTCCACAATTATGCATTTTTCTGCACATGAAATGCGTTCTTTCTGATTTGGGTCTTACTTATCTGGGAATTCCCCAGTGTGTGCTTGTCTCTTACAGCTACACTAGTTCTCGTTACCTTTTGATGTTATCTGCCGCAGACTCTGAGCAGTGTTTCAATTTTGCTATACTGGCCAGTGTTTGCACTAGCTATTGGCAAGAAGAACCTTGGACGGTGGTAACCATGGTAACAGAGCCGGTTGCTTGACTAGAACCTAACCATGTATGGTATGACCACAGTAGATTGCGCATGGAGTGTTTTCAACATATCCCGCACTGCCTATTCTCAATGACAATGGATCTATTGGGCTCAAGGTGCTCCGTGAGCATTTTATGGTGCTCTCACGGCGATTCACTGACATTCTGAGTACATGCTTTTCCTGTGTTTCTGATTAGGCCATCATTTTTATATCTATGTTTCGCGTCAGTTCAACTTCCAGAATCATATGCGAGAGGTGGAAAAAAATAAAAAAACGGCAAAATAATAAAAAATGCTCATCAGAGGTGTATAAAACTGGACATAGCACAATAGCTTGTGCATGGTGTACATCCGAAAGAAAAATCGTACATCGAAGCACAAAATCTGCATCATTTTGGACAGAGGAGGTAACCGTTGGTGCCCTTGCTTCGCTGGATTATTGTACTCAGCCTTCAGCAGCGGTGCAAAGAGCTCCGGAACGACACATCCTCTCAGCTTGAGGCGATCAATGCGGTCTGTTGCAAGCTCGTAGAATACTGCTCGCAGATGCCGAACAAACGATTTACCAACGCTGGCCTCGAGGCCATTTCTGAATCCCAGCTTCGCCGTATGCAACCAGTCCACACTGATGACTCGCACGATCGTACACCAACTGTGCATGGTTGATTTTTTATTTTTTTCCGAAAAAAATCAAAACGTATGCGTGCGGACGACGCGAAACATAGATATAAAAAATGATGGCCTTATAACAGTGCTACCGTAGGCTCAATGAAATCCGATCGCATGAGTTGGCAAACTATTACCATGATTACTTGAGTATCATACTATGTACCTGCGTACACTGAGCTTGTGCAGGTGCCAGGCGCAGACCCAAATCATGCGGATTTCATTAAATTAAGCAGCATTGTGTACATCAGTGTGTCCACATGCGTAAACTCATCAGTGTGAGCAGGGAGCACACCCAATGGCTATACCATGGCAAGGAGTATGTGCCCACTGCCGGGTAGGTGTGACATCATCATGACATCATCCTACCTATCAGTCTACACGTTCTTGCCTTGGAGTTTCTGAAAATATTCTTCCGGATAGGGATTATGTCATGATGACATCATTGCATGCTTGGCTATTGTGATGGCCTGCGTTCAGCGGTGGTTGCATGCTGTGACTGCAGTTTCATGGCGAACTATTAAAAGCAAGAGTACATAAAAAAATATAGGTTTATGTACTCTTGTTAAAAGGGATTGTACATCAGAGATTCGGATTTCGACAGTTGAGAGTGTACATGTATGTACATGTATGAATGTACAAGTACATGTGTGAATGTACAAGTACATGTGTGAATGTAGTAATGTATAACCCATGAGTCATGACCAGGAGTGTCGTAGGGGCGTCATAGGCTCATGAGAAAACAAAATCATGAAAGGGAGACCTACACGTCATTGTGAATTCTGTTCTTTCATGAGTAATGTGAGCAAGAGCATGTGCGCAGTCACTGAGTGTTCATGTACGTGTATAATTCAAAGTAATAATACATGTACAACTTTTTGTCTACATTCCAAATTACATGTACCGTATTTTCCAGCGTATACGCCCCCCTGTACTTAGGCTGTAGTACAAGCCGAACCCCAATTTTTGGCAACGAAATGCAGACATCTTTCCTATTCAAGGTATCAACTTATCACCGTTAATTTGATCATAGGAGCATATAAGCCGCACCCTCCCCCCCCCCCCCGGCCCCCTTTAGTGAATTTTGAGTGTACAAAGTGCGGCGTATGCTCCGGAAAATACGGTACATGTGCAGCATACACCAGCCTACCAGCCTAAAACCATGTTTTCTTTAACCCATGAATCAGAATCAAGAGAGCTAGAGCTAGGTACATGATTGTACACTCATATCTCTCTTATCTGGGCGGTCCGGGACAGAGCGCTGCCCATAACTTCTACATGTCCCTAACTCAGATCTTGCACGTGTAAAATGTACACCTGTGTTATTACATGTATCTTCCTATTGTATGCCCGTTGAGAATGTGCTCTTTCTTTTTTTAGAATCCTTGACAAACAGTGATTATACTTAGGCTTTAGCCTGACACAAGCGAAGACTAACTGTAGCCGGAAAAACCAATGTACCGCACTGTATACACGTTTCAATGGGGAAGGGTCAGAGATTTGGCGTATGACGTCACTATTTCCATAAAACACAAAAATTAATAGTAGTAATATTTCCACTGAAACTCACCCACGAGGTGCCGGTAGACCGAGATGCCCGTAACTTCGAGGTCCGGATAAGAGAGTTACAGACTTCCCAGTACGTGTATGAGCGAATACACTGTTTCACATGTACAGTGTATATCTCTGCTCTTCGTCGATTGAATGATGGCCCAGGCCAGGGCTTCTCTTCCATTTTAGACAATTTCGTCTTCTTTTTCTTTCTTTTCGATGGGCTAATGGAGTGTAACTGTGTAAGACTTAGTGTAAGACGCAATCATACCCAAACAATGTAAATCAGTCAAAGTGATTCACAAGTTTGTTGCCATGATTATATTGGTATACTCATTGCTAGTACTTCCTAGTGAAACTAATGTTACTTCATGCAGGGTTGGAATGAGAAATCAGACGAACTGTCAATGTTATCAAGCACAGTGTTTGGCACATGGCCGGGTCAGTGCTGCTGATGCTATACTTATTACTATTAGAGCCTCTCAACTCTATGCGTTCACACAGATACCGGTACTAGTGATAGAGAGTTTGCGCTTAACGCTTTTTTTTCTATTTCGAACTTGAGATCTCAAGACCAAAAATGTAATGGCGCTCCTGAGGTTGCAACGTGAGATTTCAATGCGATAGGGAGCCATGATATCTCACTGTTAACTGAACAGCAGCGATTCAATGCACGTTTTTTCTGACGGTCGAAATCGAAAGAACGTGAAGCGTTAAATCTCTAATGTGTATCTCAGACGGGAGCGAGGACCCGGTGGCCATGGACCATACTGAAAAATCCATGACTTGTTACTTACTATGGTGGCAACCGGACCTACATGTAGATGCTTGCGTAGTGAGAATAAGAACTGTGACTTGTATTACGTAGCACCAAGAGTAGATAAACACTCTTGCCGTCTTGGTAGTACTGTTGTCAGTTAGCACAGGATGATACATGTATGCCAATGCAGAGCTAATAATGGATTTCAACTAGGGATAAGCCGCATTAGCGGTAGTTGGTGTCTTGTCAGGACCAGCAGGATATTGCAAAAAGGACTTGGTCCTACTTCGAGTACAACATTCGACATCACCTCAGTGACGTAGATCGATGGAGACCGCGGCTGAGACTCAAGGAAGACACTCAGTGCTAGTGGTCAGCATAACAGATTTCTGATGTTCAGGCTCCGCAAGCGGTTTCCAGCTCACCCGTCTGTCAATGCCTGAGCAGAGTGTGTTGGCGTAAATAAACCCATCAGATGATGAGTGCACCTAGGATGTGCAATTGATGACTAGCAAACGGACAGTACTGTGGGAGCTACCCTACCCTACAGTGCAACATGATCGTGTAAGCAATACAATAGTTGAAAGACAGAGCAGCATTGCCATCAAGCTGCTGTAATGCTCTGCAAGCCTTTCTGCAGCTGGGGATTGTACTAAACCGCGTAGCGGTCGCAGTGCCGGTTAGCGGAGATGCACAAGGGACCTTCATGTATACTATACACTGTACTGGTGCAAGGGTGTTGGAAGGCCAAGTCACTACCAACAAGCATAGTTGGGAGAATGTGTATTTAGTATGAGTTGTGCGTGTGGCTCTGTGTTAGTATGCATAGGTCATTGTTTTGCCATGATTGGTGGCTACCACGGGGCCGGTAGCATGATCAAAGCGCACAGTGTACTACTAATGTGTGCTTGTGGTACTAGTCACTATTGCCTGGCCAGGGACACCGCGGACAGCTGCATTAGCCGAGGAGAACGAGCTATGGCAGTGACTCAACTAGAGCTAATCTCAATATTTGTCTTGCGATAGGACAGCCTGAAGTGCAGCGTGCCACTATTGCAGTATGTTCTGCGTGATCAGCCCTGAGTGATTGTGCGAATGTGTGTGGATATCTCTGTCACTGTAGCGGCGTCCAACTTGTTCTGTTCGCCAAAGCGGCGGTGTTCGCTTGCAGAATTTCAGAGGTAGAAGCTGTGGATTAGTGCCTAGTAGTGATGCTGAGGCGGACACCAAGCCAGGGTGCTGTCGATAGCTGGTGTAAACTACTCGGCCTACTAAGATGATCATACCAGATAACGACTTGCCCTTGTTCATAATAGTACCTCTCTCTCTCTGCCTGTACATCATGAGGCATACGTGCACTCAGACCTTCCAACGTGCCAATACTCACTGCTGCTACACAGTGCGAGCTGACTGAAGGAAGACAGGGCCCTGCACCGCTGCCTGGCTGCTCTACAGCCGCCGCTGAATATTTGAAGGGGCATCCACTTGCAGCGTCTTAAAATATCTCTCACCATGAAAGAGGTTTTAGTTTTGTTATTGCTCACTGCAGGCGTGCTCTGCCTTAGTCGGAGCGAAGCAAGATTGCGGGAAGGGAGCAGGCGCACCTTTCAAGTGCTTTCAGATCTTTGTGGTTTACGTGTGGTGTTAGGTGAAATCCCTCTTGCAGAGCATTCCACGATTGTTTCTTGTCCGTCTTCATCGTGGAGAATACCGTGTAGTCAGTCTGTGTGTGCTCGTCTGAATCGGTAGTAATTGAATAGTATTCACGGGTGCTAACGTTATCCAATGATGGAGTGCACTAGTCAACAGCAAAGTGCTGATAGTAGCTGTAGAGCTCTCGTGTCGTCCAGTATTGACGCCAGCACGGGTGGTAAAATAGAACGTCAGCTGTTCATCCCCTTTCTCGAGAAGCTGCTGGACAGTGACGACATTGACGGTCTAGAGTGGATCTGCAAGGACAAGCGCATATTCCGCATGCCCTGGAAACACATGAAACGCCACGACTATGACCTGGAGCGCGACTCCATGCTCTTCAAAGCGTGGGCCGTCAACTCTGGCAAATTCAAGGAGACCGAACAGGATCCGAGTCGATGGAAGATCAACTTTCGCAGCGCCCTGAACACTATGAAACACGTACTGGTGGAAGAGGAGAGTAGTGATGAGGACTGTCGTGTATTCCGCATCCTGGAGTCGACATCCACCCAGCAGAGGAAGCGGCGCGCGGGCGATGCATTCGCAATGGATTCTCCGTATTCGGTGCAAGCATCAGGGTATGCTAGTCCATCACCTGCCAAGCATTATCCGATGAAAGCCGAGACGGACGACAGACGAGTTGGTGAGTTGATGATCATTACTGGATGTTAACGTCTCTTTCTGCATACTTCCACAATGACATGGGGCGCAGTGTAGGAACATAACCTGTCTCTCTCTCTCTCTCTCTCTCTCTCTCTCTCTCTCTCTCTCTCTCTCTCTCTCTCTCTCTCTCTCTCTCTCTCTCTCTCTCTTCTCTCTCTCTCTCTCTCTCTCTCTCGCTCTCGCTCTCTCTCTCTCTCTCTCTCTCTCTCTCTCTCTCTCTCTCTCTCTCTCTCTCTCTCTCTCTCTCTCTCTCTCTCTCTCTCTCTCTCTCTCTATCTCTCTCTCTCTCTCTATCTCTCTCTCAGTGTATATGCACAGGACAACATACACCTTTGTAAGTTGATCTGGTTTTGCGGGGCATATCGTCGAGGTAATGTTGCGCGTTTAGTCAAATTAGTGTTCGAATATTCACAGCCGCCGCAACGTCAAGTAGTGATTTGCATAGACTCGGAACGCCTGTGCACTCCGCGAGGAATGATTTGTCTTCGGTCCACTGACAAATTGAGCGGGGCCATGAGAAAGCGACCTTACAGCGAACCGGTCTGTGTCACGCTGAAGCGACTTTCATGACATTCAGAAATTCAGCGTTCAGATCAAGGCTGTTACGGGTGAACGGTGTGAATTATGTAAGTCGTTCCAGGACTAATACACTTTCCTAGTGTTCCACTGGAACATGCATCGTGTGATCGTTGCGGATTCTCAAGAGTTTGTATATTCATCTTCACGGGAGTAATGTGTGGGTTCGTATTCAAGGTTAACATTTCATGCAGCTGAAGCTTGTATCGAGACGTTGCCAGCAGGCAAAGGAAGGTGCCAGAGGTGGAAGCATGTAGTTTACCTCAGTATTGAGTGACTTTAAAAAGTGAAGAATTACAACGCGGGTACACATTGGGACAAGCCAGCCGAGAAGCGCAGAAAACGTGATGCAGGATGCTAGAAAAAAATGGTGACCACGCAAATGTAATACAATCCAGTAGTGTCCTCCAGCGGATGTAGCTTTCTAGGTGGGGTGGGGAAAATATGCGCCGACAACAACAAGCCCCCTGCTTTTGCGTGTGAACAGTTGAAAAAGGCCTTATGTCAACTTGTACAGACACCTGTTCTAGCACAAGTATTGGTGTAGTCGTTGTGTTGAAGTCTTCTAGGAGGCCCATAGCCACGACGAACGGGGAAAACCCAATAGAGCATGATATCCAGAACACGGAGATACGAGCTAGGGAGGAACTTCCGCCACTGTACAAGCTGACAGCGGTATGGGTTTGTTCAGGTACGGATAGCGTGTAGTGCATGTGGTCTGCTGTATATAATGTATTATGGCTACTCCACACCAAGCTCTTACCGACAGGGTGAACAGTTGTCGGGAGTTCGAAGTGGAGTTTCTCTTTCAAGATGATGTTCTGCTATTGATATGAACAGTGAAGCTATTCACAAGAAGGGCTGCAACTTCCGTCTATGAACGAGCACACACTCTCTGACTCAGTACAGACCGCGCACAGACTAATCAGAAAGCAAACTGCGCGACCGGTCAGCTTTCACTTTTAACAAGCCACCATTAGCATTGGGGAACAGATCTGTACGAGCGTGGTCTCAGCTTGCCCATGTGCGTTTGTGTGCGCGAGGCTGTACTTCGAAGTACGTCTATGCGTCTGTGAGATAACAAAGAACACCGAACGCACACCTGACGTGTAAACGACTAGTAGCTGTAGCTATAACGTACTATTTCCACTGAGCAGCAGTGACCTACATCACTGGTGTTATCCCACATGAACGCCACTAGCACTAGCTAACATCATACTATTCATAGTAATGGTGGTAGTTGTACGTGATGTGGCATCTACTCTGCTTATCATTAGTATGTCCGTCCTTCCTGCTCACATTGCCAGCATGGCTAACCTTCACCTGGGCGACACGCTACTCTGGGCTTACATTCATGCTGCATAGCTAATGTCACTGTGTGTGTGTGATAGCGCACTTCCCTACACGTGACTGCTGCAGTGCGGTTGAAGGTGAAGACTGACGGACGTGAAGGTCAGCACTAACGTTTAGCAGAGGGTTTCAGCTTCAGTCGCACTTTCACCAAGATAGCTGGCAGCACTATCGGTCCTGTGTGCCGCTGCCTTTGGACTTCCGACACTTGTGTAGGCCATCGCCCTTGCGGCTGTCACATACACACAATCTGAAAGTCAGTCTGAGCGTGTATAAAGGTGGACTGGAGATACCATGATGTACGGTGTCTCCAGGTAGTGTTGGTAATGCAGACAGTCACCAATCAGGCAATGACTATGTAACACGTTAGTGAAAACGTGATTTCAGCGTACGATTCAGAATATCTATCATAGTTTTCTTAGGCGGTGTTAACACGTTAGTTGTCCATATTTCGTATTCACCAGACGCGTGGCCGTGGGGATGGGTTCTTCACCAAGCCGTCACGACGCCCACGCAAGCAAGACTTGCCCACCATAAACGCGAATACTGCATAGGTTCTCAGCTACAGCGCTAGAGGCGAGTACATGTATTATCTTGAGACTGCCATAATCCGTAGACATACCATCGATCTATGGAGCCGTATGATACTGACTACACACACAGAAGCGCAGGAGAAACCGGCGGACAGAGCCATCGACCAGCCACCGCCTGCTCGCACGATGGCCGCCGTTTATCTCCGAGCAGCCTTCACCGGCTAGCTTTGCATTGTGTGCATACTTGACATGGTGAATACTGCATGCAGTACTCTTGGAGTCTTGCTGACCTGCCGACCACACATCGCTACTTGTGTTGCTGGATAAGACTGTGCATGTACCACTGGAATGTTTGCTGGTGAAATCGCTAGCAAGGTTCGGCGCTAAAACCGGTCGCTTGCTCAGACCCGCTGCCGTTAAGGGTCGTTGTAGTTTCAGTGGCATTCCCGAATTCCCTAGCTAGGTCAGCGCCTGGGCCTGGGTATCAACACAAATACGTGATATGGACTGCGGAGATAAAGCCATTGCTGGCAGGTACTGGCCACTATGCAGGAATCTGTACCGATTGCGTGGAGGTATGCAGGCGGCGGTGCGGTGGCCTTGGCAAGGAAGTTTAGATATACTGGAAGGCGTTTACTGCTCCAGGGTTGTCTCTACCCATCCGCTTATGCGCGTATTTATACCAAATAACACTAACAGTATAATTATTTGGTGTGCTGTTGAAACTCGAACATCCAGCATGCACTGTACTCTCTACTGTAGTAACCGCTTTACCACTGCACAGTAGTGACGTCATACGCACAAAGAAAATACTGTATTTCAGTCAGTGAGTCACATGGGTTTGTTGTCCGCTGCTATGAAAGGACTATCAACTAAAATAGTAAAAACACACTTCACCTGAGCTGTCTGTATCCGGCCTGCACCTGACCTGGGCTACACATAAGCTGACACTCAACAGTTTCACTGTCTTTGTCTGTGACCCTGTATGGAGTATTAATAGCCAAGCACACAGCTAGGCCGATCGATGGATGCACAGACGTGATAGACGTGACACTGATACTAGTGATAGTGTAACGTTGGAAATAATGGACTGGGCATGGGTAGCTCGTGCACGTAGTCATCACCAAGGCATTGGACGAGTTGAAGGGGCGTGGTGCGCCAACATGAAACTAGCAAGCAAGATGGAAGTGAAAGCACTCCAAGGACGGTGTAGTATCAGACAGCGCATCGCTACTGACGTCACAAGTTCATAACGCATTGCGGATCTGTATGTACATGTGTGGGCACGTATCGATGACGTATGGCATGTTTGACGAAAACCTTACTATCCACACGCACACATGTGATTCCCTTACCGTCGGTTCAACACCGGGTCCTTATGATGACGTTGCTCTCTACTCTAGACCCCATGCGCGCTGATGCTGATGCTGATGCTGATGCTGATGTCCTTAGTTAGACGGTAGTAGTGGCCACTGGGCCTCATGGAGTAGCCTAGATTCATGGCTAAGCGATGATTTAGACATTGTCCAGTTTCGTCCCAATCCTGGAACCAATTTGGACCAACGTTTCTAATGGCAGCAATGGAGCCGCAGTCGGTTTACTATGTCTGTGTTCAATACTCGAACCTCATTCGCTTCGTTATCATTGGATCTGTTCAGTCGGTTTAGCTTGCTAATTCAAACTAACACAACCGACCAAAGCAAAAGGTTCGTGTAAGTACTGATCCCAACACTACAGTGTTAGTGGCCACCTCTGTAAGCATGCTGTCACCTGTCAGCTGTATTCCGTTGTATAACTTGTCGATCACCGGTATTCTTCACTTCTGCGGGGAACTATGCAACGAGAAGGTCTCCAGTCCATTTACAGTCAGTGCAGTGGTCGTAGCGGTACATTAGCTATTCATTACCACCGATAATGATTGCTGCTTATCATCCCCGTGTCACCTCGCATTGTGGCCCAGTGCGGGCTCACCAGTTAGATATTTAGCGCCCAAAGCGGTCTGCAGTGTTGTGTTCTCAACTACGTTTTCCGTTCAAGTCGATGCTGTGCAGGCATGCACCTTGCCACCATGGAGCCAATAATTGAATGTACTCTCCTTCGATATCTGGGTTCGAGGATTCGTAAGAGCTCCGTAGAAAGCCCCGCAATGGCCATAATCATGGTCTGCCTCTTCTTTCGCCAGCTGCACGATCCAACAGTTGAGCTGAGCGAAATAGGATTCGCCTCGTGGACTCCAAGCATTTCGTAGTGGAGTCCAAAAGGTCCTCAACTTTCGTGTTTCGTGTTGATAGTTTGTCACAATGTAGATCTACCTCTGCTTTATCGGTTTCCACGTCTAAAAGAAGTGACTTTCTCCACGGGCTAGACTGACATTGCGTTGGCCCGCACGGGGAGTAGTAACGTTACGTGTGTATATGTAGATCTACTGCATTTCCAAGTGGCGGATGGTCCCTACAACTCGCCGGTTACCCAGGCTAGGCTAGGCCAGGCCGCCTGTGAACCATCGGTCCATCGGGGTCAAGGGTGCAACACGTCGTTTCACCTCCGCTAGCATCCGCACACGTACACGTACTGATGTAGATCTACAATCATGTAGTCAATCGACTCACGCATGTGTGCTAGTATGGTCCTAGCCTCCTATCCTAGTCCTAGTCCTAGGTTATGGTCATGCTTTTCCGTTTGAGACATGGCGAAGTCGCCAAGGCTGCAACCGTTCCCAACAGCAACACTCAACACTACAAATAGTTTGCAAAACAACAAAACCTCCTCTATGCATATATGCCAGCTATGATCAAGACAGACCAGTATTTTAGTAGCAAAATATATACCAGCTGGGAGCATAATTTCCTCACACTCATACAGTCTCTTGCTATGAAGTAGGATCCATAACTGGGCATAAGGTATACTCAGTCTGGCTGCAGACTGTCAGTGAGTGGTTAGGTTTAGTTGGTTCCTATCACCTACCCGAGTTAGAGACAGGGCAGTGTATTGGAGCGCCGCGGTGCGCGGATGTCTGGAGGCGACTAGTATTTTCAGTAAATGCTAGCACCTTAGCTTGTAGTCGTTTCACGGGGATGGATGGAATGAGGCAAATAGGCCACGAGTGCATACCAGTAAATTATTCTAGATATCGGATTGTCAGTGTCGAGCTGCTACACTGTATTTCCTGGACTTTCATCGTAAGTGATTAGTAATCATTAGTTACTTTCACATGCCCAGTATCATGTGTACTCAGGCTTGTGTTCAAGTAACAGTTCTTGTCATCTCTAACCTTGTTCACAATCTGGACAAACCTCTGGTGCGAGCTTGCAAGCACCCACCTCTGTCAAGTGTATCATGTAATATTTTGTAAGGATGGTGTTCTCATGTTCTCCCACTGATCTACCTCTATTCCCTGTGTACAGCCATTCCTGCTCAGTTCCAAGGCGTCCAACAGTATCCATGGCAACCCACTCAATATGTCTACCCACCGGGATCGGTTGCCATGGCACCACCGGCACAGTTCACCTACTACACCACCGCCACCGCTGCCCCTGCGGCCGTGGACGGTCATCACGGTGCCACGACAACGTACTATGTACCCAATCAGAACGCAGCACCCCCGCCGACGTCCGTGATCCACACACCTGCACAGCCACAGCAGGTCATGGCGGCACCAGCCATGGCTCATCACTATGGCAACCAACAGGCTATGACTCACTACACAGCACCAGCCCAGTACATGCATGCACCGCAGGCAGTAGCGGGCGCAGGTGTAGCTAATGCTGCTGGTACCGTGGTACTCCAAACCAATAGCACAGCACAGAACTCGGGAAATCTACATCAAGTTGCTGTGCCTGCGCCTATGCACATGAATCACACTGCTCATCCTTCTAACGCCGGTGTAGGTCATGCAGGAAACTCCGGTGTTGTTGGTGGTCAAGCAATGGCAGCCGTGAACCATGAACATGCTGTAAGTCAATACATAAGCCACGTGACTCCGTTATCATTACCTTTGCCAGGTTCATTATCAACTAGGGTGGTCTACTGCCTGAAGAGTGCTCGTTGCCCGTCGTTTAAGGCAGAGCTTTCCACAGACTAGTAGTTAGCAGAGAGAAAGATAGAAGCTACATTCGTATGTTGCAACTCAGAGTTTTTAATTTAAAAATGTTATTTATAATCATAATGCCAAGCTAGATACAGTAACTTATGTTAGTCATGTATCGACATGGTATGAAAAAATCTCAGTATTATGCTGTGCTACTATCCTGATCAAGTATATAATGATATTAATCTGATAGATTGTTCTTATGCCCTTTTATGATCAGGCGCATATGCTCAGCCCGCAGAGCTTGAAGACAAACAATAGCTGTGAGTCGTTACGCTCAGCCCAGTCCATGATGTTGCCAGTCACAGGCATCATGACAGCCATCGCAACGTCATCTGCAACCAGCTTGGGAGCCGAGGACAGCCACAGCATCAGCAGAGACTTTGAGCAAGACACGACGTCACAACAGCAGCAGCTGCTGCAACACCAACAACAGCAGCAAAATCAAACATCACGTGTTCCGGACAATCACGACGTCAATGGTACGCTCTTCTTTTCCTCCACTTGCAGCTGCTATCTTTCCATATAGAAACTAAAAAGTGAGACCTTCTAGCTTCAAACACATACCAGCGTGTGAGGAAGGAGCCGTTGTTTGGAGGGGGGAGAAAAAGCCCCCCCCCTTCCACACACATACACACACACAATGGTTCAGGGTGCTCTTGTCCTTGAACACTACATGCATAACATCACATCCCTAGAGAAGTAGACTAGGTGGAAGTACATTGCACAAGGGTTCCTACTTCCTAGCCTCTTTCCATTATATATATTTGTAGTGAATGTCCTCCAGTATTCTTGTACTGCCTGCATTTTTGACCATCTCTATGCAGACTCTCAGAAGTGCAGTTCCAAGCATCGTACCAGCAGAGACAAGAAGCAACATGTCAGCATGGGCGGGCGTACTCACTCGAATGCTTCACATCGCAAGTCAAAAGACAGGTTCTTTGCAGCCAACAGCAATAACGACTTAGCCAGCGCATCATCGACCTCCAAAGGGAAATCTCCCAGTAAGCGCAGCCACTTGAAGCTGGAATCGCCCATGGAGGAAGAGAGTCGTGATGATGAGGTCATCGTTGATGTTGTGTCTAGTCCGATGGATGAAGCTCCCAGTGATCATGGTGACATGGCGGATCATGAGAAAGAACACACATCACCTGGAGATACAGGCGAAGAGAGGTGAGTCCTGGTGTGATCTTATTAGGATGAGGTCATGTGACACGTACACTAGCACTATCTAATCATGACATCATCATGATGTAATGACTTTTGGAAAAGTTCTGTTGTCCTCACCAGAGCAAGTGAGGGATCGGCTGGGGAAGGGCTTATCAATATGCACTATACAAATCATAGTACATGCTTTTATGGTCCAATTGAGAGACCCCCGCCACCTCCCCCCCCCCCCCCCCCCCGCCACACACACACACACACACTCACCAGGTGGACAAGTGTGTGTGTGTGTGTTTGCGCACGCGTGTGTGTGTTTCGAACCTGCTTATCCGAGCTAATTATCGAGCGCTCACAGTGTCTGACTTAAGAATCGTTCTATCAACTATCATGACTTACTATTGGCGTGTGTCTCATGTTCCCTCCAGTCCCAGTACTGAATCTGACCAGACTAGCAGTGCGGATGACCCCCAGGAGACTCAGACAGCTGCTCAGCAAGACAAGGAGAAAGAAATCCACGGGATTCAGTGTCAAGTCGAGGACGGCAAGAGGTGTGTAGCAGGATATTCTCAGAACTACCTCCGTTCCCTGATCCGAGGGCTGCACGGTCGCGAACTCATTTGCATAATGCTGGAGAGAAATCGAAAGATTCCGCACGTTGGTGCTACTGATGTCAAAACTTCATCGTGATTTGTTTGGTTTATGAATCTAGGACTACCCGATGAGACCCAGCTTGTGGCCACATGTAGTTGTTTGGAAAGTAATGCCTTTCACATCACACCTGAATCACACCTGTTTCTGTTTGTTTTCAGTCTTAGCAAATGGCTGTAAGCACTAGGTCCAAGATCCAGATTTTAACTTGTAACGCCTCAGAAACTATACATGAGTTTGAGGGGGTTTCGAAATCAATTCATTGTTTCCTGTTTCCGTCTGATGTCCTTATGCAGACAACTTGAGCAACTTGAAGGCAGTCTTGCCGAGCGAAACGCAAGAATCGTCCAAATGGAGTTGCAGCGCGAGCAGCTCAATGTCTGCCTGCATCGCGAGTGGCTGATTGTCAAGGATCTAGTTTCCATGGTGACGGCACACAAGACGCAAATGGAACAGTTGACGGTGAAGCTGAGTCAGTTACGGAACCCCTCAGCCCCGAACCCCATCCCCAACCACCCGGTCACAGCAACAACAGCAGCAGCCACTCCTGAAGCCAGCAGCAGAGTAAGCCTGGATGCGCCAGTGGCCAAGAAACGCCGCCAGCCCAGCAGTAAGAGAAAAAGCAAATCAGCACGCACTGGTAACTGACGACACTACCTTTACACATATTCAATAGTCGAGGGAGTTGAACTTATACACATGTAAAGAAATACTAAAATAATGCTGAACAACTCTATCCCTGGACATAAGTACTTAACTTATAACTTATTTTTTAAACTAATCTTGCTGATAACCTAAACCAGAGATATAAGTCATTGACATCTTCACATTTGCTGATATATCGGTAGTAATATTATTACTTGAAGTACTCTTATTGCAGGCAAGGAGATACATGTATGTAAGCTAAAGTACAAGTACTAACAATGCCATGCCGAGCTGAGATGAAGAGATCTGATAAACATACTGATAACCATACTGATAATCATACTGATAATCATACAAGTAACTTACTCTTTTCACACAACAATCTAATGCTGGATACTCTATACTCTATACTATAATATACCCTATCTCTTTCCCGTTAATCATGCTTGTGAACGGCAAAACCTCTCAGATGTCGGGGAGAATATAAACGTGAACAGCCACTATCAGTATTGAAACTTTGGGGTGCAATGTTTTAGGCATTATGCCGCTGAGGCGCGAGTGTTAACAGGCAGGCTCATAACGTTTTGATCATGTGATGAGCAACGTACTGATGAGAGTAACCATGGATAAATCTACGCAGACAGAAGAACGAGCAGTTGTGGTTTCGTAACTCCGAGTTTCACGAACTTAATCAATCATCAGACGAAAATTGGCTGCTCATTTTTCTGTCTGCGTATACCGCTCTTTGCCTTCGGCAAGTTGAGCCCTCTACGGACGGTGGATGAACTTCACATCATGGATAAATCTATAATTTGTGAACACTGCACAACAGTGGGATCCCAGGCGCGTACGCAGGGGGGGGGGTCCCGTTGCCCGGAAACCCCCCAAATGTTCCAAACGGGCAACGTTTTTGGGCATATTTGGTAGGGCGCACGATCGATCTGGCAAGAATGCAAAACTTCAACAGATCGTAGCTCTCAAATCTCGCTCAAATCCAACGATCTAAATATCCAGGTCAAATAAAAAACTCTCAGCTGTCGGTTGAAACAATTTGCGACGCGCTGCGAGCAATGTCTCTCGAGATAAATCGTTCGTGAGTTGAGCCGGCCGCGATCTCGCAATTTCAAAAGCGCGCAGTGCGACTCGAGTATCGAGAATTTGAGACTTTTTGTCACGCGTACGCGGACTTACTCAAAATTGCAGGGGCTTCACTTGTGATATTTTCAAGAGTACACAGCAAAAAATCGAAATTCTGCGATCAAGAAAAACGAAATCGCTGGATCCATGGAGCAGGACGCGTTCGGACCTTTGGCCCAGTTTGGGGCATTGTTTCGCACCGTCGCTGCACTCTACCGCTTTAAGCCTATAGCATGATAGCGCTGGATATGTACATGGTTGTACTGTGTCCTGGCTATCATGGTCGACCTCATTCTCTCCAGGGTACCCTTCCACTTCCAGGAAGCCAAAGATAATGAAGAAGATTGAGTGAGTAGAACTGAAGTTATGACCCAAAGAACACGAAAAATGCTTAGTTTTGAAAATTTTCTAGGGCTCTTTAGAAATACAAATACGAAATACAAAGGGTTAAAACAAGTCATTGTTTGCGATTCGGTTGGAAACCCCCTAGAGGTGACCCTGCGTACGCGCCTGGATCCCCTGCTGTACTATGCAATATGCGCTACCTCCGCAGTAGTAAGCACTCTCCGTGCACTGGGTGCATATGATCCTCCAGTAATTTGTGAACATTATGAAGTATTACGAAGTAATAACGCAGCTTGTATGGCATATTGAATTATTGTGTAACCTACCGAACTGCGATCAAAGTTGACATAACATCTGCCTCAGCAGATCAGGCGACAGCTAACTGATAAATGTACTCAGCATGGCTCCAGAGTGAGCCGTGTGAGCTATTATTAGTACTGCATATGGATGGTATCAAGAGTAAATAAGCTCCCAAGAGTGTGCAACTCTGCATGCACGGTCTCCGACGGCGAAAACTCACATCGCGTGTTCCCAGTACGATTTGTACAAGTACGTGCAACGAATGCTAGCATGCACGCAGCTCCGAATATCGGCCATGATTATGCTGATGGCTCGCATAAGCTGAGTGGAGTTTTGTCAGGGAGTGCTATTTTTTCAACTCCACTGGTCGCTAAAACGTGCTGGGAACGTACAACGGGAACACTACAACACGTGACGTGAGTTTTCGCTGTCAGCGATCTCATAGAAAGGGTATCCAGGGTTGCACACTCTTGGGAGCTTACATGTATATACTCTTGCAGGTCCGGAAGCAGCTCCCACGCAGCGATGCGGCGAAGTGCCCTGTTGAATGACCCCAGACATTTTTTAGGAATTTAGAAGGCAAATGCTGCAGTCTGGGCGCATTTCGGTGCATCTCCTAGCCCCTGGGTACAACTAACTTGCAAGTCTGCATCTATGATAGTTCACCATGGTTCATGTACGTAGAATGTTCCTGATTATTATTATTATTATTTATTGCAACATCTCAAGACTCGGCGGAAACACCGGCCAATATTACGAGAGTGGGTGATTGCCAACCACGGCGATAAATAGAAATAAGGGGAGGGAAAAAGAAAGAGTAGCAAAACGAACAGCAACAACAACTCCGTAAAGAAAGATAATGTCAAATAAAAACAGTGAAAAACACAGAGACGCAAAGGACATGTGGATAATGAGCTATGCATGTCGTAGTAAATAAGGGGCGGCACGGATCTTAAACAGGCGGAGTGAGGTCAGGTCCTTAACTTCTCTGGGTAGAGTGAGCCAAACAGAATTAGCAATAAAGAGAGGGGAGCGCAAAAGAGTGGATGAGTTACACTTAGGGAGTAAGAGCGAGTTTCTAGTTCTTAGAGAAGAGAACCAATTAAAACACATGAGATGAGGTGGGCACAACTCAAGCTTAATAGAATGGACAAGAGAAGCCAGGTGTGCACTGCGTCCATGTGATAACGGGGTTGTGTGAGCGATTTTATAAAGGGCGGATGATGAGAGCATGCGGGGTTGACGGAGGAGAATTTTAAGGATTTTGTTGTGATGTATTTCAAGCTTTGCAGCAGCGGAAGAGGATAACCCAACCCAAGACGTATCTGCATAATGAAATATTGGGCGAAAGTAGGCTAAATAAAAAAGAAGCTTGCAAGAAAGTGGGAGGTAGGAGCAGTGGGGGGAGAGAATTCCTAAGGATTTACTTGATTTTTTACAGATATATTCGATGTGAGGTACCCAAGAGAGTGCAGAGTCAATCACAATGCCAAGGTGTTTGTGAGAAGACACTATGTCAATTGGATTTGGAAAGTTGGCATGGATGAGGGTTGTGAACTCCGGCTGGGGCGGGAAGAGCATGATCTTTGTTTTTGATAGATTTGGGGACAACCTCCAGGACGACATCCAGGAAAGAACTTCCTGAATGCCAGCACGCAAGTTGTTTTTCAGGCCAGTGAGGGAAGCTGATGAGGTGAGAAGGGTCGTGTCGTCAGCAAACAGAGACGTTCCAGGGAAGACTGCAGGTAAGTCGTTTACGTAAATTATAAATAGTAGGGGACCAAGAATTGATCCTTGAGGAACGCCCGACAATACTGGCTCTGCAGCCGAGGATGTGCCAAGCACAGTTACGTACTGATAACGCCCAGAGAGATAAGATTTCAGCCAGGAGAGTGGTTGTTTGCGTACCCTGAATGCATGCTCGAGCTTTGCCAAAAGTCCTCGATGCCAGACGGTATCAAAAGCCTTGGCCAAGTCAAAGAAGCAAATGCCAGCAAGCGCTCTGTTATCCCTATGCTGGCACACCTGCTGCACGATGCGGGTCAGTTGAAGAGAGGTGGAGTCGCCTTTACGAAACCCAGATTGTGCGGGACTCAGAAACGGCGAAACATGTCTGTATAAGTGGTCATAAAAGATGCGTTCACATACTTTGGACACGCAGGGAAGAAGAGAGATAGGGCGGTAGTTTGCAGGTTCGTGGCGGGAACCTTTCTTGAATACAGGTATGACTTTCGCTGTTTTCCATGCGGAAGGGAATATGCCCGTGGTAAATGACATGTTGAAAATATGGCACAAAGGGAATGCTATGGATGGTGCCAGGGCCTTGAGGACCCGGTTGGGGATGCCGTCAGGACCAGACGCCTTGCACGTCGGAAGCTTCTTCAGATGACGCCGGACAGTGGCAGTTGTGGTGATGACGGACGTGAAACAAGCTGAGGGCTCCGAGGGGGTGAGAATAGGGGGAATAGAGAGCAACGGGTCATCTGGCCGAGTCACAGAGGCAAACTGGGCGTTTAATGCCGTAGCTTTGGCCAAAGGGTCAGCCGCCTGCTGAGTCCCTGTTGTGAGTGACGGAATTTCCCGTGATACGTTTCGAATTCTTGCTTGTCTCACAAACTGGTGAAGCGATGGACGGTGTCTACCCTGCAAAGTAGTTTTCACTGAGCGGATATAAGCTCTGTACTTTGTCCGCGTCAGGGTTTTCACTATATTTCGCTGCTGTTGGTATGCTTGTTTGTTTTGTTGTGTTGGGTACTTCCTAAAAATGCTATAGAGATCATATTTCCACTTGATTGCTGTGCGGAGATGGGCATCAACCCAGGGTGGCTGACTGGGCCGTGGGCAGCGGTGAGAATACGGCTGCTTTCCGAATGGCCAGAGGTGCTTCTCAAGGGCACTGTTGAGAATGGAAGAAAAGTGTGAAAGCGCATCATCGACGTTGCTGGCACGCAGGTGCCAGCTCCAGTCAATATCAGAGAGCTCTGCATTCACACTATCCCAGACGGAAGATGGCACGGATTTAAAGTCATATTCCGGCTTTGCAGGAACATTGCTGAAGTGGCTTCGGGGTGCAGCAGCGGGATGTCCGCTTGCAGCAGGTTCCTCACGGTAAACAGCATCAGTAGGCAGTAGGAAATGACTGAGGATCTGTGCGTGGTCAGATGCACCAAGAGGAGCAACAGATGTAACAGAGAGTAGTAGGTGAGGATGATCCGTGAGTACAACGTCAATACACGATGTTGAGCCGTGGGGGGTAAAGTGTGTGGGGAATGTCAGATGACAGGGTAGTCCGTTTTACGACTCCCTGTACAAAATCGTACTTCGAAACTTTTTCTCCCCGATTTTGGACGTTCCACGTGGACCAACTTCTTGGGAAATAATGGTACAGTCGTCCCTCTCTAATCCGGCACTTGTTTATCCAGCACCCTTGCAAACCAGCACACTTTCTGGCAAAACGGATTTTTTCAGTTCATTTTCTACGCTTTAATCCGGCACTTGAATTCCGCCTCTGGCAGCGATTTTCTGCAACAAATCACTCAAACTGAACATAATTTGATTTTCTAATCCAGCAGTTGTACATCGCATACCGTACCAGTGCCAATATCCTATGCCAGTGCATAGGATTTTCCCAAGTGTATGTTATAGACATGGCATGTTACAGACATGCATTCCACAAACGTGTGACAAAGTACTTGGATTGACACAGAAAATCCCTACATTTTGACGTACGACACAAACATGTACGTTACTAGG